ATTATCATTGTTTGAGTTTCCTGTGTTAATGTTTTTGTACGTGACCATCTCTCATAAGTGACCAACTTTTCCTGACCCCGAGGTGATTGCTTACGAGAGAGTTGACAACAATCTTTAGGTGCAATTTTTATAACAAAAATTCAAACAACTTAAGACAAGTGTATCCTTTAAAGTTTCTAGTTACCTGACACAGTCCAATTCCTAGTCCAACCCCTGCTAAGATAGTAAACTGGTTGACAAAGAAGTCTTCTAACTTCTTGATACAGCCCTGAACATAAAGCAGTTGTGAAAAAAGTGATGCTAAATTCAATCTATGTTTCTGAAGGGAGGTAATTAAACACATTAAAGTATCATAATGATGAGAATATTGGGTTTCACATACAACTTTGAGCACTGTTTGAATCTTCTGGTTATTGAGACAAGCAATGAATGATGAGAATAGCATAAATTCTTTTTTTTTTTCATGAATTACCTTTTACGATTTTAGAGATTATTTCTGTACAAAAACCTATTAGGACTATATATTTACCACCAAGCCTTTGTCTGGTACAAGGCCTTTTATCATTATTTACCCTACAAAGAGATCTACTTTTCTCACCCGCCGAAAAAGCGAGAGACAAATGCTTTTCTTGCTTTCTTGTGGTGAGAAAAGTAGATCTATTTGCAGAGTACCGCGGGTAATCATTATTTTAGTCTCCAAATAGAACACTTAATCAAGGCATAATTACATAGCATGTAAAACTGCCTACAACAAATATAACCTTTTGCCCAATCAAAAAACGAGACTTACTTGTGTATTGATATTTGAAGGGTGATCCCTGACCCCACAACGATTAGAGAATGTCTTGCAGCATGAATCAGGTACGGTGTTGTTTCCACTCAGCTCACTCTGTTTCCAGGCAGTTGTGTTCCAACTATTTGCACTGATATCTCCACAACAATGGTACTAAAATAATAAGAAAAAACACATCTAGCAATACTGAAATTAAAAAAAAATTTGATTATTTAAAAATAATCAACACCATATTTTCTAGATGAATATCTTATACCTTCTTCTGCAGTTCATCTATAGCTTCTGTCACATCATCAGCAAACCCATATTGGTTGATTTTTCCTCTAATGCCATTTAATAGTTCATCTGATATCTATAATGAAAAAAACATCATATTATTTTGTCAGTAGTATTTTCCAAAGAAAAAAATATACCCTGTCACCTTACATTGCATTAGATACATTTACACAGTTCTGCAAACCATTTATAGTTCACTTTGGTCATAAATCCAATTTTTGGGAAATATAATTAAACTGCATGGTTATTTTTACCATAATCAAATTCATGATGCACTAGGAGATACACCCAATTCTTGAGACTCCACAATTATCTGGGAGAATTGACAGCTCCCAAATAAGAGCCATCCTGTAAAACTGTTAAGATCTTTAGTGGGCCCTTCCTTTTAAGTATGCATTTATGCAGACGGTATTGGACACATCATGACAATATAATGTTTTGCAATTCCAAGGAACAAATCCTTTGTTTGACATCATGAAATGTTGCAAAAATGCACAACTGGATTGACTTTTTCAATCTTAAAACAGTTACTGTCAATATTTTGCGAGTGCATCAAAAGTTGTTCAAGGACAAAATTTTGGTGGTTGGTAAAAAAGACAACAAAATTCTAAAGTTAACACTCATTGTGAAGCAAAAACATACGAGAAAAATATTAACACCCAAAAAATTATAAGGTATACTACTGATTTCTTGTGTTCTTTGTCAAACAACACTTCAAAATTCATCGAAAAACACATTTTTGTACATACATATCAAGAGTTGGGCTGTCCCCATCTCTGCCTTTGAGATTCCCACCAAATTCAAAGTGCCACAACATGATTGGTCAAAATTAAAACTTACCAAGGATTCACCTCATACTGTGTCCAACACTGCCTGCATTTATGTTATAGATAAGCAAAAGTAATTGACAACTTGTTTATGAATCATGTTGACTGCAATTTTGATAATCAAGGAATAACTTATTTACCTGACTTCTATAGATAATAGCAACAAGCCCAGTGGAAATCTCTAATATGAATATCAACACCAACATAATGATGTACTGCAAAATAATCAACAATTCATGGTGTATGTTAATACTGATTTGGGAATTTTACTGATTTTCACTGTAATTGAACCAGCTGAAAAATATAACAGTCTTTTTTTATTTCCAAAACTATAAAATAAACATTTGCAAAATGAAGATCAATTGAAATTCAACTCTTTTCTAATTCATATATTCACATATAATGTGAATTTTGGGCTATACTGTACTGTATTTTCCAACCACTGCCTTGTTGAAATCCTTGTGAGCTTCTTGCGCTTTGTGTGCATTTTCCCTAGTGTTMCTTTTCATTTTTTTCTTACTTGGCTCAACTTTGTTTAATTCACCCACACAGAAAGTTCTTGTACAATTTATTTTGTAGCTTCTAATACCGGTTTGCTAATCTATTTTTATTGCACCTTTTTCATTCCCTCTACATTAAACAAATTTCCACAATGTACATAGAGTTTGGAGGTAGTGAGRAAAGTACGTCCTATACAAATATTCATTACATGGTTGATACCCTCTAACAAAGGACACATGCATATTTGGACAACACTTTGTTGCAGCCCCCATTTAGAATTCACTCTTTCACTAACAAAAGAACAGTCTTCTTTCTGCTCCTTCATTCCCCC